AAAAAGGTGGAGATTCGCTATTGATTACCGTAAATTAAATTCCATAACGAAATATCCGGTATATCCGTTACCGATCATAGAAGAAATTTTAAGGAACATAAAATCAACCAAATTTATGACGACTTTAGACTTAACGACTGGTTATTTTCAAATAGGTTATAGGCCTGAGGACGTGCCTAAGACTGCTTTTATAACCAAGTCTGGCACTTATGCATTTTTGCGTATGCCGTTTGGCCTTTCAGGGGCCCCGGCAACATTTCAGCGATGCATGGACATTGTGTTAAGACCTGTTCTTGGAAAGTCCACATTTATCTATTTAGACGATATCATTATTACTAGTGATAATCTCGACCAACATGTACAGGATTTAAGACAGGTGTTTTCTTTATTAAATGAGGCCGGTCTAAAAGTTAATGTCGAAAAGTGCAAATTTGCAGCCCCTGAATTAAAATATTTAGGTTACAAAATATCTCAAAAAGGGATCGAGACAGATGAATCAAAAATAATCGCTGTACAAAAGTATCCGACTCCAAACACGGCAAAGAAGCTCTCTTCTTTTCTAGGACTTTGTTCATATTATAGGTCCTTTATAAAAGATTTTGCGGCTATCGCTGAGCCATTGTTAAAATTAAAAAGGAAAAAGGCAAGATTCTCGTGGACGGCCGAAGCCAATAGTGCTTTCGAAAAATTAAAACAAGCATTAACGCAAGCCCCTGTGTTGAAATTTCCTGAAAAGGATGAAAATTTAGAAATTTCAGCGGATGCTTCGGATTATGCGGTAGGAGCGGTACTTTCGCAAAATCAGCAGCCCGTGGCATTTTTTAGCCGAACTTTAAATCAAACACAAAGAAACTATTCCGCGACCGAGAGAGAGGCACTTGCAGTTCTGTTAGCAGTGCAAAAGTTCCGAGTCTATTTTGGAAAGGCGCCGATAACAGTATACTCTGATCATGCGGCGGTAACTAGATTGTACTCAGGGAAAAAATTTATCCCCAAGGTTAATAAGATGGGCACTCAAGCTGCAAGAATATAATCTGGTAATCAAGCATACCCCCGGAAAGGAAAATATCGTAGCAGATGCCCTATCACGAATTAAAATAGACGAACAAGGTAATACCGTAAAGGTGGCAATGCTTACAGCATGTACAATAAATTCCCGAGAAACTGTAATAACCGAACTGGGTAAGGATCCTGAGTTTGGAAGTATTTATGAGTATTTGAAGGATCCTGAAAATTTTAGCCACCAAGATATTGTGGCGATAAGAAATAGGGCGGCCCATTACGAACTAATAGATGGTCTATTATTCTATACAAAAACTACGAATTCCAACAACGAATTTCGACCTGTTATCCCAGCTAGTCTTAGATTAAATATCCTGCAGGAGCTCCATGACAGCCCTTTAGCTTCTCATGCTGGTATTCGAAAAACTATCCAACGCGTACGCGAGGCAGTCTACTTTCCTGAACTGCAAAAGTTAACAAGGGCGTATGTCCAGTCCTGCCCAACATGTCAAGCAGTTAATTATATTAATTTCCGCCCGGCCGGGTTTCTAAATAGTATTAAATCCGAATTTCCAAATGAAATAATTGGCATCGATTTATTGGGCCCTTTCCCAAAAAGTCAGTTAAATAAAAGTCGCTATCTCCTTGTTATGGTTGATCATTTTAGTAAATGGACCGAAATTGTTCCCTTAAAACGAGCCTCCGCGAAATTAGTTACTGATTCTATTTTAAATAAATATATTTTAAAATACGGGGCGCCCCTAAAAGTTATATCGGATAATGGTCCTCAATTTGTAAGTAATATATTTGAAGACATGTGCCAAAAACTGGGCATACGTCATTTAAAAATGGTCCCGTATCGGCCGCAATCAAATATAGCGGAACGGGTCAACAGAAATATAGTGAAAATTATCCGTAGTTATGTTAAAAATTTTCATAAAAGCTGGGATAACTATGTCAATGAATTTGCTTTCGCCCTTAGGACCGCAAAACATGATACAACGGGCAAAACTCCTGCTGAGTTATTTCTAGGCAGAAAGATTATAACACCGTTAGATAAATTATTTTATGTGCAACAAAGAGCCCCAGAATGTAAAATGGGTGATATAGAAAAACTAATAAAAGAAGCAAAAAAGAATACGGAAGTAGTAGCACAAAGAAAACAGAAGCTTATTATGATTTGAAACGACGGGGAGTAACTTATAAAGTAGGGGATGAAGTTTTAAAAATTAAGCATTCACTTTCTTCAGCACCAGAAGATAAAACTGCCAAATTTTTTCCACGATTTGAAGGACCATATGTTATAGAAAAAATAACTCACGCTGTTGTAGTGTTAAAAGCCAGAATGGTGATGGTGAAACCTGTTCCGCAAACATTGATCAAATCAAAGCCCTACTTCGATCGTAATAAAATGCAAATCTTTTCAGATCTTTTGCAGGATCCGGCACGGCAGACACCGCAGGTACAAGTTCCAGAGGTGGAAAAACGACAAGTACAAGGGCAAGCCAATGAGAGACAGAAGCAAGTGAAAAGAAAATTGCCCCGCGGAAAAATTGAAGGTAACAAGAAAAGAAAGCCGTTCCACCGTCCAGAAAAACAGAGAGTTCACGAACACCCCCAGAATGAAGAAGGGAGAAGGACGACGTATGTGAAGAGGACCAGGAGAAATGACGGCAACTATAACCCGGCTTTAAAACGGAAGATCTACTCATCCGACAGAACTCTCCGCAGCAAAAGTCGCCGAACTGCGGAAGGGCCATCAGCGGCGGAGGAAAAAGTACAAGGAAAAATTTGAACGGCCAACAACGAGGTCCAAGCAGGATCACGACAGAAGTAGAAGTTTCCCGGTTCCGCCAAGACCAGCTGCCTTCAAACGGCCAAGACCACAAGCAGAGGAGAAAAGGAAGGTATTCAAGGGTGGCCGAACTGGTGAAAAAACGGAAGCTTCCAGAGGAAAGCACTGAAGGGCGAGCCCGTACAAGAAGGAGGATAAACCAAGCTACTATCTGCAGTACCTTTAAAGACTGGGCCCAGAAAAGGATGTCCGAATATTACAAAGATAAGTAAAATTTTATGTTACTTTGCAAACTTAAGTTAATCTTTCATTCTTACTGCAAGTGGCAGATTTCAAGAAGTTTTACCTCATGCGAGGTCTACCTTTATCGCCAAAAGGGCGAGAAATGAGTTGTGACCGATTTTCTTATTATGTTTTTCAATTACTCGCGCGTAAAACTAAAGTTGATGTATAATAGCGTTGTGTAAAGACTTAAATATTGTAAAAAGTTATTGTATAAATTTTATTTAAAACATTCTAGCAAGAAAGAAGTTTTAGTCTGAAAGACTTTTTGAAATGTAGTATTATTTCAATGTAGAAAGAATTGGCACTTGCTTTGAAAAGAATAGAAGTTAACAATGTACTACTAATGTATGTTTTCAAATGTGTAAAATTAACGGCATGTTGATATGTTCTTATATACAATGTGAACTGTTATTTTAAATGTTAAGAAATACCGTGATATGGTAAAAGTGAAAGTAATGTTAAAAATTTGTTATTCGTGTGACTGTAAAGATTAAATCATGGCGAATATGTGTTAAAGGTTGAATGATGTAGTTAGGCTCTCTGACGCTACACTTTAGAGTTAGCCACTTTTAGAATAGTACCTCAGGGTTTAGAGTTGAAATTAGGGTGTGTTAAGAGGTCTCGTATGTTGAATTTTAACACGTTAGTGTTTTGATTGTAGGAGGAAGTGTGGAACACGTAGACAGAAACACATTCGTGTTTGGTGTTCTTTTACAACACATGTCAGAGAGCACGGGGAGAGATAATTAAAATAGTCATGAATGAAATAAGAATGTTAAGAGCAGTATAATTCTATATGTTACTTGCCATGTCATTGTGTAACATTTCATTAAACTAGTTTTCCTTCCAGATCTCTGGAAGGAACCAGAATTGAATAAAGCTCCTGTTTAGATGCAGTACAGATGAAAAAAAAAGATTGTTGTATATCCTGGGAGCTGCTATTGTAACAAATTTCTTTCTTTTAAATTTTCTAGTTTCTAGCGAAGTTATGTTTGTAAAAGATTGGCCTCGCGTTAGATTCTAGAGCTAAAAGTTTTCAACAAGGTCGTTTTAGACCTCAGTTTCAAACTAATTAACTCTGGCGGGAAGTATGTAAGGATCCTAAGTTTTACTAACGTTTATTTTATTTTAAATCTTTACTATCACTTCTTATTTTCTACTTCCGGCCAGAATTATAAGCGTTAAGGTTTTTATGCAAAGTTTGTCTGGCGAACGCCAAGTATTTAAGTTGTGGCTTTTTGCCAAGCAAGAGAGAGGAAGCAGTGAGTTCGAAGCAGGCCGCTTACCTTAGAAGTTACGCAGTTGCTGTTTGCCTTCCAGGCCAGAGGTTTTAATCCTCTTGATAAATTAAACGTATTGTAGTGTTCACAGTCTCTGTGCTACATACGCTTCCTGTTATTATAAGGCCAATCTTCCACGTGTATTATTCTAAAGTTAAATTAGAGTTTAGTTTTATTTTTTATACTTTTACGTTAGACCCCGAGTGGCGGGTCATTGTATTCCGAAGTACGGAAGTTATTGTATATAGAGAAAAATAAAGGGTTTTGTATACCCTTCGTCTGTATCCTGTCTACTTACTACAATTAGTGAACATAGCTTTAGTAAGCTCTCTGTTCCTAGTCAGGTCCTTGTATGTTCCCGAAGAAGGTTAGAAGGAACATTGAACCTGATAAGGTTCAGAAATCTTTCATTCTAAAATATTTTCAAATAAGTAAATTTACAACAAATAAAATATTTATATTAAACGGGGAATGCGGCAAACTACTTGTTAATGCAAACGGGTCAAAATATATCCCATTTGGAAGCTAAGCTCACTGAGTTTTACTGTTTAACTGAAAATGCAAGTAATTAGAAGCCTCGAATATTATCTTAATTGTAAACAGAAATTATTACAGGACTTTAAAGAAAATCTATTTACCTTTACTATTCCAAGACCAACTGTAACTAAAGTTGCTAAGGAATCAGAATCATACCCGAAATGCTGAAATACTGAAGGAGCATAGTACAGCACATTGGTGTTACCTGAAAACTAATATTAATACGTTAATCTTTCTAAAAAAAATGGGACTTTTTTCCAAAGCATAACATTAAAAATCTGGCCCAATATTTCAGTAAAAATGTTGTAATTGTCGTATCATGTTTCCATGAAATTACTTTGATACTAAATGTAATAAAATTTCAGTTAACACATTTTATCGTTTAATTTTTGCATGCTAAAATCATCATAAAGTGGAACTCAATATCACATTAAACATCCATTTATTCGTACTATAATTTAGAGTATATTATTTCGGAAAATAACATGCCGTTTTTCTCAGATACCATGATTCATTCATAATTTAGATATTTACAACTGGCAAGAAAAAATTCGAATTTAACAGATACTCACATTATTTCTAATTTCGTTCCATACTATTTGTTATAATTTCTTGAATACCAAACTAAGGATTCACAAGACAAGAACGATTTCTAACAAGAAAATCTTCAGCTTCATTTAACTTTCCAGTGTTTATGGACATCTTATTCTACCATGAGGGTTGGTTCTGTCCTATAATAAGGAACAAGTTGCTCAATGGCATTTTCTTCGTAAGGCACCGTATAAAATAATAAATTCCGCACATTTTTATCAGAATGCGCATTATCATCGAAACTCTCATAACTTGAAAATCGAAATTAATTAAATTTTATTAAACTAGAATCATAGATCTACGACCAACAGCTTACGAAGTATTTAATCTTACACTAACCCCTGTATGATTGGAACTTTTTTGTAACCCCTTGGAAACACCCTGTATAATTATAAAATGCTTCATCTGCAGCTACATATTAGCAAATGATATTTTTTTACCTTTTCAGGGTCATCCGTAATATTTTCTGCGGTAACTCATGCTTTCATGTAAACATGATACCACGAAATTCACTTATTTCTGGCATCCATTCACTGAATGAGTAGTTGAGTAAATTTACATCTCGTGTGATAAAAAATGGAGCAACTTGAAAAAGGAAAGACTAAGAAATAGGATTAAGACATATTATTTGCTTTAAAGAAAATGTGTAAAATACTGTGGCATACAATTCTAACTATTGAACTCAAATTATTCATTTAAAATAATGTGCAATTACTAAATTAAAAAATAGAATTAGTTGTAAAAATAGTTTTTTACAATTGTAAAAAAAAATTTGTATTTATTTTTTAAATTAGAAATAAGGTAAATGAAATTAAGAATGAAAGTAACATAAAGATTTAATGGCGGATGCTAAATCAGCATTAATATTAATTTTTTGCCGGTTTCAAGAACTGAGTATTTCCAACTATCAAGGCAATAAGAATAATTACGTACAAAAATTTGTACGAATTCATCTAAGACAGTAAGTATATATTATCATTTGGCTTTGCCTTTGACAATCAGAATTTTGCTGTAACTGTGCTCGTTACAGCTATCCTTAAATGTCTGTTCATTTCTGAAATTTTCACAGATGGGGTAAGGTAGTTAGAACATTAAATATTAGCTTCATCTATATAAACCTTTTTAGGATTGACGACCTTTTATTAAGAACTACTTTATATTAAGAAGAATTAAAATTTTCAATTTGTTATATGGAAAAAGGCTCCATGCAGAGGTGATTCAAATTATTTTGCTTACTCTGCTATCACAAGTTAAAGATTTCAGCGAGTTCAGAAACCCAAGCACGCTTGAGAGTTTCCTTGAACTCGTGGTAAAGTTTGAAAGCTGGAGGGTTGTAGAATATAGGCCTACGGTAAAATATAATCAGAGGGTCGGGCAGACAGTTTCATAGGCCTGCAGCAGAAAATCCTTCTAGAATTGAACTGAATATAGTTATAAAAAAAATTTGGCTCTGCCTGTAATACAAATATTGTTAAGTAATATGCCAGTAGATGGACTATTGGGCACAGGGGTTCAAAGCAGTTTTTTCGCTGATAAATTTTACCGAAAATATTTTAGAAGATATAGAATGTTTGAGGTGGAAAAAGCGCAAGTTATTGTCCCAAGTCAGCAGTGTACAGATGTCACATTACAAGTGCAGATAAAAACCGAGCAACAAAAAGTAGTTTTCTCCGTTCTGAAAAATGTACAAACTCCAGTAGCTTTAGGAATGGATTGTTTAAAGAACGCGGGGGCTAAAATCAATTTTCAGGAAGGCATAGTGCAGCTAGACATGACTTCAGTTGAAGTGAAAGAAACGCACCCTCCGGCCAGTGAGCTGAAACGCCTGCCGATTGAAGACAAATACAAGCTGGATCAGTTGGTAAACTGTTTTTCTAATTTATTTGACGACAGCCCTAGTCTCACACAAAGTGCAAACCACAGCATAGACACAAGAAATGCCTCCCTCCTGTAAAGCAAAGCTTTACCACTATGACAGAATCAAAAAGGAAATCATTGACAAGCTTATATAAGAAATGTTAAAGCACTTGGTAGTAATTCCCATAAGCAAGCCTTGCGATAGCTCTGTAGTGCTATGCTCTAAAATGAATAATCTCTCATCAACGTACCATAAGGAATGGCGTTTGGCAGTAGGTTACCGAAAACTAAATAGTATTAATAAATATCCTGTTTATCCACTGCCTATAATTGAAGAAAAAAAATAAGAATATTAAATTAATAAATAACATTACGACAATACTTCGGGATAGTTTCAAATATGTGTAAAATTAGAAGATGTGCCGAAAACCTCATTTATTACAAAGTCAGACATTTATGCCTCTTCGAGAATGCCGTTTGTCTTACACGAAGCTCACGCCACGTTTCAGAGGGCCATATACATAATATTAAAATCTGTACTCGGGAAGAATACTTTTCTAGCTAGAGGGTATGATTGTAACTAGCAAGATAATAGACGAACATATTAGGGACTTGTAAGAAGTGTTTTCGCTTCTAAACGAAGCAGGATTAAAAAGAAATGCATCAAAACCTAAATTTGTGGCCAAGAAACTCCGTTACTTAGGGTATAATATATCAGAGAATGAAATTGGGACAGGAGATTACTAAATAGTCGCAATAACGAATTATCCGCCACAAAATACCGCAAAAAAATTTGCCCTCATTTTGGGGCTCGTATTATTATATGGCTTTTATCTGGGATTTTGTAAAGATAGCCGAAACGGTGTTAAAATTGAAAAGAATCGGTCGAAGCAAACACAGCGTAACAACAACAAGAAGAAGAAATTATGACTGCATTAATTCACGTGTCAGTTTTGAAATTTTCTGAAGCCGATGGGAACTCAGAGATTGCCGAAAATGCTTCAGATCTTGCGGTTCGAACCACGCTGATGCAAAAAAGGAGAGCCGGTAGCTTATTTAAGTACGACTCTTAATCCCACTCAGAGAATTATACGGCTACAGAAACGGAAAACACTGTCAGTTCTCTTAGAGTTCCGAAATCTCCGAGTGCATTTCGGGAAGACACCGGTTACAATTTACTCACATCATGATCATAGATTATGAGTCCTTAAACTACAAAAACTTTGTGTTATTATGAAGCATACTCCAGAAAAGAGAACGTAGTGGCTGACGCTCTGTCGAGAATGAAACTAGATGAATAGGTGAACGTGTAAGGATCCTAAGTTTTACTAACGTTTATTTTATTTTAAAACTGTACTATCACTTCTTATTTTCTATTTCCGGCCAGAATTAAATGCTTTAACTTGTTTATGCAAATTGTCTTGCTAACACCCAAGTATTTAAAGTGTGGCTTTTTGCCAAGAGTTAGGGAGAGAGAAGGAGTTTTAGGAAGCACGCCGCTTGCCACTGTAGTTTTACGAGTTTTCACTCAGTTGCTGGTTGCGTTTAAGGCCAGAGGTTTAGCCCTCTTGATATTTGCAAACGTAGTGTAGTTTCAGCAGCTCGGCATACTACATACGTACCCCCTTTTAAATAAAGGCCAGTCTTAATGCTGGGCATTTGTATACTAATTCAAAGTTAGCTTTTAGTTAGAGTTTTAGTTAGTAGTTTTTATATTCTTACGTTCAGACCACAAGTGGTTGGTCTCTGTATTCCGAAGTTCGGAAGTGCCTGTAAAAGATTGAAAATAAAGGGTTTCGTATACCCGTCCTGCTTGTGTTGTCTACTTCACACCTTCTTGAACATAGCTTGAGTAAGCTCCCTGTTCCTATTCAGGATCATTCATGTTCCCAAAGCAAATCAAGAGAAACACAAGTCCTGACAAACGAACTCAAATAAGCTATTCTCTCAAATAAACTCAAATAAGCTGCGGAAATTCTTAATTTTTGTGAGACTATTATTTTATCAACAGACCAGAATTAAAAATATTTCTGATTATTTAAAAGATCCTGATCATTTCGAGCCCCAGAATATAAAGGCTATCAAAAATGAAAACGCAAATTATGAGATTACTGATAATCTCTTGTTTTATGCTGAAGTAGCAAACGAAAACAACGAATTAAGAACGGTTATCTTAGCAGTATAAGGTTGAGCATTTTGCAGGAATTGCATGATTCCAAGTTTCAGGCCATCTTGACATAAGAAAAACGATACAGCGACATCGCGAACCTTATTATTTTCCACAGTTAAAAAAGTTTATTCTGAGTATGTCAAGTATTTTCATATTTGCCAATTAGTTAACCATGCTAATTATAGCCCAGCCGGATATCGAAACAGTATAAAGCAACTTTTCCAGTAAACAGGAATTGATTTCTTAGGTCCATACCCACATAGTAAGTAAGAATGGTGTTTACTCGTTATCGCAGATCTAGAAATAATTCCCGACGAAAGAGCCTCCGCTAAAACTGCGTCAGATTCTTTTTTAAATAAGTTTATTTTAAATATGGAGTAGCATTAAAAGTAATTTCAGGAAGTGGCAAGCAATTTATTAGTTAAATATTTGAGAACCTATACATAGGGCTTAGCATATGGCATTTAAAATAAATCCTTATCCGCCGCCGTTAAATATTGCAGAACGGGTGAATAAGAAGATGGATAAGATTATTTGTAATTGTGTAAAGAATTATTATAAGAGAACATCAATAAGTGTCAATGAATTGGCATA